TTTCTTCATTTTTTTGTGTGTGTGTGCAAGAGTTGCAAGGTCAGATGTGCAAATCTATAATGGATTAACTGCAGCTAAAGTGCACTTGACCTGGGATTTTTTTGAGGTGTCATCTTTCTGAGCTTTTTATATTTGCCCTTGGTTTACTTAGAAGACAACGCTGAAAGGAGTAATTTGGAGGAATTCCATTTTGTCCTGAAATTTGGAGGAATCCCCTATTTATCTGGAGAATGGCAAAGGTGGAAAATCTCAGAGACAGAAACAGAAACCAAAACTACCAAAGAAAATGCTGCATTCTTTTCCTGGTAGGAACATTGCTTTCATCTTCTCACTTTGCTATAAAGCAGATGATGATTTGTGAGATGACAGTCAAAGGGCGACTCATTCTTGGTGCTTCTCTGAAACTGAGATAAAATCCCTTGGTTTATCTCATATAACAAAATTATAGTGTGAAGATACAGAGGAGAAAGTCTTACAAAAGCTTACAGTGAGAAAAGGTGGATTTAGGTGAAATGTGAATCTTCGTAGTGGTAAAGCTGGATCTTGATTCCACAGATCATCTTAAAATACAGAAAAAACCCAAGGAATAAGGTAAATGCTTTTAGACCCAGAACTAGGAATTTGTAAGAAACAAATCAAAATCAAAGTCCTGGGTTAATTTTTGGGAATGTGGGAGATTATGTTTTAAGATGTAAGAGCATGGATTTGATGGAATCCCTTAAAAATGGTGTTTTATATGATAGAAAAGGGCTTGTAGAATAACAGAGGCATCCCCTGAAATAGAGAGCCCAGCAGCAACATAAAACCCTCTTCGTGCTTTCAGTGTGAAGTGAGACTTTGCACTCCCAACCTCCCACGTTGGAGCTGGGTCTTGAATAGCTTTTCTGTTTCCTCCTCAGCTGAGCTAATGACAGATCTGCAGAAGTGTCAACACTGCAGCCGAGAAAGCTCGAGGTGGCAGGAACGTTGTTCAGGGGAGAGGGGAATCACAGCAAACACTCCTTCCAAGGTTGGTGACTCCTGACTAAACAGCATCTCATTTTCAGCAAGAAGAGCCAAAAACTTGCCCACAGGCAGTGGAGGGTTCCAGATGAGCCCCATGTCTCCTGCAGGCAGCAGTGGGTGAGGTAATGCTGCTCCCCTTTCCCTGGCTCCTCTCTCCTCTCCCGCTGCCAGCCCTGGTTCAGGCTGGAGTATTTGCTTTAGTCAGGGTCAAGAAATCCAGCCTAATTCTCGCTGGCTCTGTGTGTCATTTCCATTCTTGGCAGGGGGAATTTGTCTTATGTGACTTCACCTTCCATAAAATTTGCAGGTGGAGTGTAACTCACCTACACTCCCCATGAGCTCTGGTCAGAGAGACTGGCATTGCTCTGCAGTTCCTCCCTGGTCTCTTGGACACCTGTCTGAGTCTGGGATGAATCACCCTCTGGACACAGCATGAGAGGAAATGGCCTTAAGTTAAGCCAGGGGAGGTTTAGATTGGATGGTAGGAAAAATTTCTTCATGGAAAGGGTTATCGAGCACTGGCACAGCTGCCCAGGGAAGTGGTGAAGTCACCATCCCTGGAGAGTTTTAAAAAACCTGTAGATGTGGCACTTGGGGACATGGTTTAGTGGTGGGCTTGGCAGTGCTGGTTAATGGTTGGGCTTGATCTTTCCAATCTTAATAATTCTATAATTCTGTGACGTGCCAATTTTTCATTGGTGGCTGCAGAGATACTGACCTTTCCAATCCATACAGGAAGTTTTAGTTTGGGATGGTGAAAATCAGAAGAACTGAGTTGCCCAGTGTGGCAGACAATGGGTGATCTGATGCAAACCCACATTTCTCTGACTGGCATAAGTCTGGACTGATACGTGGGGAACCTTTTATTCTGAGGGCAATGGGAGATGGCAGGATGAGGGAAGAACTGGATTTTCTCCACTGATTTTTCTCCCCGTGTTTTGGTTCTCTGTGTGTTTTCCACTTTCTATTGTGGAGTGTTGAATGTATTGACAGTTTGGAGGAATTTGGGCTGGATTGCTCTAAGACAAAGTAACACTCAGCCCAAACTCTTGCACTTAAATTTGAGTCTGGATTTTCCTGTGTAAACCTGGCCTAGGAAAAACTCACAAAAAAGAAGTAGATGTTATCTTTGTAGGTAATTAGTGGAAACAGAACATTGCTCAGCCAGAGAGTGAAACATTGCAAAAGTCTCACCTATGAAAAAGTAAAATAAGTTCATTGAAACAAATCACATCTTAATTTTGATGAGTGAGGTGGAGCTTCACGAATGTGTTGATGGTTTCACAAGTTGATGGTGCCAGATATGACTTCCACTGAAATGTTTATATTTTGAGACAAAATGTGTTGCTCCCCCAAATTTGTCAGTTTTGCTACCTGGGACATAACTTTCCTCTTAGTTCCAGAAGGTAAAATACAGCTGATTAGGACTTTTGAATTCTCAGTCACTTGCACTGAGCAGAAAACAAGCTGCCAGAGGTGTCAAATTTAAGTCAGAAGCTGGTATCATGACTAACATTTGCCAACAAAATAAAGGACTGAAATGTTTTGTTTCTGTCCTTTTGCTACTTTAAATTTTGTTCAATATTAAATATTTTAATTTCTTTCCCTTTGGCGACTTTCAAAGTTCAGTTACAAATGAGAAATAATTTTGAAGCCAACAAATATTTTTTTTCCAAAACAGTACTAAATGAAACTTGTTCCTTTTCTTTTTTCCATAATTATTTCAAGTGTTGATCAGCTCATCTCTGTTAAGAAAGAAAAAGAGACAAGAAGTCCTCTGAAATATCCCCAGGGAATACCCACTGATAGAGGTATTTGTTGATGTGAGGAAAAATGTGCTGTTTCAGAATTATTGCAGGCATTTCTGATTTCTGAGAACTTACTCCTGCTTATGGAAAAGAAGAAGAATTCCAAGTGGTGCACGGAGGCATCAGGTGTTTGCCAGCCAGGAACAGGTTTGCAAAGGGAATTGGACCCTGCGTAGGGGGAAATGAGGTTCTTCACTCAGGTGTCCAAAAAAAGGGGGGATTTGTTCCTAAATTACCAGTGACTCGTGGCTACATGAGGATATCTTTGCAAATCCAGTTGTTATTCCCAGTGGGAGCTCCTGTTTCTCAACAGATCTGAAATCAAAAGGAGCTCTTGGCGCTTCCGAAATTCCGGCCTCGGCCAAACGCTGCAGCCAAGAACAAAAGTTATGTGAACTCAGAAAGAACAAGTCATCAGACTGCCCTCTGGTCAGCAGAAGAATGTGAAATATCTCAGATTTATTCCCCAAATCCAATTCAGGTTTCATCTGTGCTGAACAGTCAGCACATCAGTGCAATAACTGGGAATTTCACAAATTACCCAACCTGAAGTCACTATTTTCAGAAGGGTCTCTGTGTGATCTGTACCTGACAATTTGTAAAGACCAGAATCCATCATTCCAACCTGGTGGAAAAAGTTTTTTGGTGTCTTTTTTTTTTTTTTCGTTTTTTGGTTGGTTGGTTTGTTTGGGGTTTTTACCTTTTTTTTTTTTTTTTTTTGGTTGTTACTTTTTAAATCAACTTAAAGAAATTTTGTTTTTCAGCATGGTGACTGGAGCTTGTTTAACTTTCTATTTACTCCAAAGGGTTGTTAGGGAAGATTGAACCTAATTGCTCTAAAGGCAAATGAGGAAATGATAAATGAACATGTTTGGCAGTAGTAAAGCAAAATAAGCTTGGAGAGAAAGGAGGTGAAAGTTTGATCTTTTGTTTTTCTCCTCTCCATCCCCCTGTATGATGGGTAATGTCCTCCCATGTCCATCACTTCGTTGTCCATCTCAATGGGGACTTGAGAAATTTCTTAAACTGTTTTTATTTTATGAATAATCACCACACAGACAAAATGTTTCGTGGAGATAACAGAAGAAGAAGAAGAAGGAACCCCTCACTGTGCCGTGAAAGTCACAGCTTGTGGAAATGTTCACTGTAATAAGAAATACCTGAAAATGTAAAGAGGGGTTCTGTTGCTGTGACACAAATATCAAACTGCACCCAGGAAAGGAGAGAACTGATTTAGTAACATCTGGTCTTGATAACTTTGAAATATCTGCCACTGTAATTACATGCTAATGATATGATTTCACACTGCTTATAATCTCAGAAGCAAACTGTTTCTAATTATACATTACCCAGAAAAAGGGCCTTGCTGCCTTCTGTCTTTAAATTACTGTTTTTATCCAGACACCGTCTCTCCAAGTAGGTAATTCTATGGCTACTGTTGCTTCTGGTATCTGAGAACCACCTGAACATTGATGGATTTATGCTAATTACATAAAAATCCATTTTCTGAACCCTGCAAGTTCAGGAAAAAGTATAATTATTGCTGCATTTCAGTCAGAGAAAACCTTCAGAACAGTGGTAGGGCTTTTAAATGTGCTGCTATGAATAAAAGAAGAAAACTTCTGTGCCAAAAATACAGAAGCTTAAGTCTGCCTCCTCATTCTGCATAGCAACAAGTCTTTGTTAAGTTTTAGTGTCTCAGACACCTCTCCCCATATGCAGCATTGAGTTACTGTCCTTTAAAAACCTTTCCATCCTCCAGAGATGGGTGTGCAGCTTCCATGACTTGCAAACATCTTCTCCCACCACTTACCTCGCCAAAGAAATGTTGTTTCTGATGCCTTGCCCACAGTACTTTGTGTTCTCTCTTAATTAATCAAAGTGTTCTTATCTTATCTGCACTTCATCTTGTCCAACAGGCATTCCCAAAAGCATCCGAATTTTATTTCTAGGAATAAGTGTGTTGTCTTATTGGGACCATGTGTTGGTCAGAGCCTGCCCTGTGTCCTCTCTGCAGCACATCTGAGAAACCATATTGATTCATTCCCAGAGCACAAACGTTGAACATTCATACTATTTTTATTAAACATAACTCTGCTTTTTCTCTCCTTTCTCCCCTTTCCCCTGCACCCTCCAGCAATATCCAGCCTCGCTGAGTCAAAACAGGAATAAATGGAAAACACATTAAAAAGAGGATTATGTCCATATGGAGGAGGATTGACATCCATTTCCACACTGAGAAGACTGTGTTATACCATCCAGTTTTGCCTTTGGTCATCCCCACACCTCAGACGCCTGTGCAGGTGAGTCAATGACTGAACACCCAAGGGAAGGAGAGACACCCTCAGTCCTGTCCCCTCACTGGAAAACCAACAAGGTGTTTTGCAAAAAATATGCAGTTCTGTCTCTTTGCAATGAATTGTGCTCAACTCACCTCCAGAAGCATCAGTTCTGCAGCCCAGAAGGAGCTCTTCCATACTGCTTCATCCCCTCTTGTAAGGTTACTTAGTAAGATTGGGGTGTAGAAGCCTGTGGGGGAACGTTTGCTGCTCTTGCCAGTGAGGTTTCTCATCTCAGGGGGGTTTCTCATCTGCTGAGCTCCCCTCCTTGCAGCTCCAGTAGCAGCATCAATATCTATACTGAGCACATGCTCCCCCCCCTCCCCCTTCTCCTCCTCTGGGTGAGAAAAAGGAGAAATGTGGAACAGGAGGTGGGTTTTTTGCTTTCCTGATTCATTCTGGTGAAAGCTCTGGAAACCCATACTGGGGTTAATATCTCTGAATCCTGTTGGAATTACCTTTGCCTGGGCCAGTGCTTGGCTTATGAAAGAGAGGTCCCATCTCTTTTCTGCATTTAGAGAAGGTTAGAGATGAGTGATGGAGAAAGATCAGGGGGGCTTTGGGCCCACCAGGTCTCCTCTCATCCCAGAAACCAGGAGGTTCTCCCAGAACCTCCTACACTTGATTTAGAAGTCCTTGACCTGGTTGGCTCTTCTCAGCACTGGCACATCACAGGGATGGCCAGAAGTTCTGCACACAGATGGAGCTGAAGTAGGTCCTCAAGGACTGCTGCATCTGTGCCCCATGGAGAGCTCAAATCCTGGGGAAAGTATTTCATCAGAGAGCTGTTGGTCAACCTCACAGATCCTTACCTTTAAATCTGTCCTTAGGGTGTGAAGGACTTGAGATTCCCCCTGTCCCCAAAGTGCCTCCTGTGCTTGTCCTGTTTCCACCACAGACCAACAGAGGCTGATCCATGTCCTGCTGCTGCTGAGAAGATCCGAGGGACTGCAGGTACTTTCTGTCCTTCAGGATGATGCTAAAGCCAAACCCCAGCCCTCTCTCACCTGTCACCTACCTGTTTCCCACATCAAAGAGAGATTTGCAAGGGTAGATTTTTATATCTAACAATTGCTTGAGGTCAACCAGAGAGATATCTCTCCCTAGTCTGCTCTGTCAGGCTCAATTCTTATAAGGTAATGAAGAAGGCCCCTAGAGATTCCTGGCTCAGACAGGTGTCCCTTCACTGTGACAATGAACAGTGGGAGTAGATGTGAGGGCACCTCTGAGGGAGCTGGATTTCTCCTGATGTTCATAAAACTCAGCCCCAGCCTTATCGAACTGCAGCTGTGGCTCAGAAAGTGATGTAAGAAAGCAGGGAGAGGAAAAGGAAGAAACTGTTCAACCCTCAGCAAAGCTTTGTCACTCCTCAGGGATGACTTTGTGCTGGAGTGGTTTGGAACAGGGCGCTGACACCTGTTTGAAACACAAATGCCATGTTGATCACTCCAACACCACCTTCCATAGAAAACCAGTCCTGATTAGCAGTGTGGATGTGGTGCTGAAATCTGGTCCTGAGCTGTGAAATTTGCTCTATAACCTTTTCTCATTCCCAGAATGAAAATTGTCCCAGAACAGCCTCATTGCCCAGATATCCTTGGAAATGAGCCTTGACCCTCTGACTGTACTGAGGGATCGAAAACATTGAGGGATCTCCCAGGCCAGCAATATCAGGGCAGGAGCCCATATTTCTTCTCTCTGGGCCACAACTGCCCAAAAACCTGGTAAATACCAATACATGGTGATTTTAACGGTGAGAAATCAACAAAAAAACCCTGGAATTGTAGGAATGTGAAAACTCAGCTGCAATAGTAGCAGAGTGCTGGGGATCAGGCAGGATTGTGCCCATAGCTCAGTTTAAAAAAAAAAGAAAAGTGCCAGATTAATGGGCATAATCAAGGCTGACATTGAGTAAGAGACAAGAACGACTAATCAGATGCAAACTTAGCTGATGCTGGCATTACTGAGGGCCTGGGGGCACAGTCCAAGGATAAAAACATAACATCTTATCTAACCAAGGAGTCATTTGTGCACCGCCAGTTACAGCACGTCCTTAAAAAAGGAAAGGAGGAAAAAGAAAATATCTGTGGCACATGAAATTATTTTATGCCCCAGAAATGATAAGAAAGCAAAGCTAAGTGCTCCTGTACCCAAGCTTTATAGAGGAAAAACCTATCTCCAGTTAACCCATTGCAATGTCCACTGTAAATCCCCAGGATGTGAAAAAAATACATTAAAAATAAAAATAAATTGGGGATTAAATCAAAATTAATATAAATAAGACTCTTAAAAACTCAGTTTAGTCATATTTCTTGCTGTTTGGAGCTTTATAGGATACATGGGGCCGGGCTGCTCCTCGGTTCAGTGAGAGTTCAGGCAGTCTGGCAATCCTCTTCTTTTGGCCAAGGCTTCTCTTCTGGCAACACATTCCCCTGTTTCTCAAGACTTTTCTTTTCCTCCAGATTCAACAGGACATTGACCTGGATCTCACACAACAGCTCATGGAAAGGAAAGGCCCTCTGACACAAAACAACGTCACTGGAGAGGGAACTGTAGTGTCAGGGAAGGCGTCTGGAAGATGAATCTGGGAATAAGCCAATCACTCCAAGCTACATCACTTTGCGTGGCTGAGTTTTATCTCCGGTCATTTTCAGTACAGCTGATGAGTCTTAATAGAGGAAGAACTTCTGTGTAGAATCCAGTAAATTAAAAAAAAACAAACAACCAAACAAAAATCGAACAAAACTACCACCACAGTTCTGCGGGGAAAAACTGGAATTGTATTTCCATAATACGGACCTTTCCCAGAAAGGCGTGGGTCAGCGTGAAATGCAACACCACCCATCTGCAAGGGAGTGTGCCCAGTTCAACACCACCCATCTGCAAGGGAGTGTGCCCAGTTCCTCACAGCCTTTTCCATTTTCGTCATTTGCCATCTCTTGAAACCTTCCACCGTGACAACTCACACCACAACCCAGCTCCTACTCAGTGGGAGCTCTGGGACACTGGGGCTGCCTGGAATTGGGAGGGAGAAGACACAGGTGGCAGGGGCAGTGGGTGATGAGTAGGAGAAGTCACCTCCTCCACCTCCCCTCTGTGAAACAATGTGTACAACTGGAACGAAGCCTCATTTTTCCCTTCCAGCAGCAACTCAAGGTGTGATCCACGTGCAGCGCTGTTGGGATCTTAGGGCAATGCCTCAGGTTCTCAACGCTGGCCTGTCTTGACGGCCTTCAGCCCCTGGTGACTCTGACTTGTTGTCCTCACAAGCCTCAAGTGACATCACTTGCCCTTTCCCCAGGGGCTGGGAACCCAGCAAGGTGCCACTGGCACAGGTGTGATTTGACATGACCACTGCTCTGCCCTGGGAGAGCGACACTTGTGTGTGAACACCTCTGCACAGCGCTTCTCCAAATGTTTGTGCAGGAAGAGCCATAAATGGGGCTGTGTTGACCCCAAGATGCAATCCAAGTGTTTGAGTCTAGGCCTTATCTACATCCCCTTATCAGGAGGAGGGAGCACCGATGCACCCCGGGAAGGGAGGGGACTGTGCACACCACAGGGAACGGCCTCGTCCCTTCTCCCCTGGCACGGGGAGGGGACTGTGGGCAGAGCTGGGTAATGATTTGTCATCGCGAGGGCCGGGGTGTCTCTCTTTGCAGAGGAAACCTTGGCCGTGATTGACAGCAGGGCTGTTTTTTGCCGCTTCCCTCGCTGTTGTCAAGTAATAATGAAGCTTTGTCAGTCCATCATGGACATGGATATGCCAGATTATGTGGACTCCTTGGACTCCTCTTACACCATGCTGGAATTCGACAACCTCCGGGTGCTCCCCAATAACACCGGTGAGATTTTTATTCGTTTCCTCTTGAATAACTTCCACTACCTCTGTTGCAAAGCTGAGATCCTGGGAAAGACAGGTGGGAGGTGTGGGGCAAAGGGTGGAAGGGGTAATATTTAAGCAGCTGATCTGTCAACCTGTGGCATCCGTGGTTGTGTTTGGGCTGAAATGCGACTCTTTCGCTTGCCGGTCCCATTCTGAGTTGTTCTTTTCCTTGGTGGGCTGAGCGCCATGTCCTGAAGAGTTTGGCAAATGCTGGTAGAGTTTTTCATGGCACTCCTTAGGTCTGTCCCCCTGTGTGGCTTATGAGAGGAGTTAATACCAATATTTCTTCCTTCAAATGCGTGTTTCATTCCCATCTATGGCTTAGGTCGATATTTAATCCTCGGGAAAACACGTTGTCTCAAATGACATTTGTCTATGACCGTGTGTCCCATTCAAGTTGTTCCTAAGGACTTGGTCTGAAAAACAACATCCAAATCATTACTTTACTTGTATTTTTAAGGGTTACCAAGATGATCCAACAGATTTTATGGCACAAAAGAACTTGGCTGTGAGGCGGGAGTGTTTATAGGCAGAGACTTCCGCTTTGTTCACAGAAATAAAGCTCATTTTGTGGTGTTTAGTTTTTGTTATTTAGTTTTTGAGCAACCAAAACTGCTCTGACATAAAGTGAGTGCTATTCTGTGAAATTAACTGCTCACTGTGTAAAAATAAAGGGCATTTTGGTCATATTGCGTGAAACCACCGTGTAACTGAATGAGATCCCAACGTTAACGAAGCCTTTGGAGAGTTTTGGCTGCATTTCATTAAATTTGTTAAGGAGCTTAGTGAAATTAAGATGGGATTTTCGTGTTTTCTCATTAGCTGGCTCATCAAAAGAAATCAGAGTTTCAGTAGGGCTATTGTCCACAATATAAAATGATTAGACTTATTATTGTGGGACATGGAGGGATAGCAAAGCTAAAAGGTCCATAGAAATTTGAATTTAAGTTTGACTTCAATAAAGCTCTGGCTGTCCCCAACTAAATATATATTTTTGCCAGCTGCAGATAGACTGGCTCTTATTTCTTATCCTTGCAGAAAGGTTTTCCACCTCCTATCCTACTCCAGAAATGATATTTAACACAGATGTTTCTCTTTGTCGCTTGCTGCCGAACAACAAGATGCTTTTCACTTTTTGAAGTGGTACAGATTTCCTCAAAATTCAAAACTGTTTTGCAAATGAACCACGAAAGCCTGTTTGGGGCTCTCTGGTGATTCATGCAGTGGAACTGACAGGTTGAGTCTTTTCTGAACTTTATCGAGATCGGGATTGTGTTATTTGTTGAGCTGTTAATGAGTAACTGGTTCTCTCGGGAACGAGCTGTTTTGAAATTAGCTTGTTTGTCTTGGGTAAGTGTCCTCTTCTACAGTTTGTAAAAATAACTTCAAAAAAGGCCTGAAATGTCCATGCATGGAAATATATTGCCTACCAGCTGAATTCAGTTCCCAGGGGTAACTCAAAATCACACTTCCCTCTGTAGCTTCAGAAATAATTTAAAATTTGTTAGAATCAGGAAATAATCTCATTTTAGGTACTTTTACAATTATACTGGATTGTTTTAAGCCATATTTTTCCCAAGACTTGTGTGTATTTTTTCCCCTACTGAATCTAATGGCAGCTTTGCCCTCTATAAACACGAACAGGAAGGGATGCAATATTTATTGTAATGGATTCAGGGCGGCTTCTTACAGTCTGAACAATTTCAAATGTGAAAATTAGAATATTTTCAAATAAGATCACACTTTCTTGAAAACAACTATTTCCTTCTTTGGAACATTATCAAAAATTTGGGTTGATTAGTGCTGTGGAGTATCTTGGGTGCTGAGCTTTCTGCTTCAGGAAGCTGCTGTTGGTCTGAGATTTGCCTAGATATGTGTTTTGGCTTTTCCACTTTTAAGTAGCCCATATTTTGCCAGATATTTTGAGACTAATTCAAAATAAAGAATAGAATCCATTATGGAAGGAATATAATAAATTGTCTGGTTTAAATAGAACGGCAAAAGGAAACGAACAAAAATCAACCCTAATTCCCTCTCTCCTTTATAAAATATGTGTTGTACCAGCAGAAATTTTCCCATTCTGTACAAACTTCTTTGCTTTACCTTGGCTGGTGTTACAAGCCATATTCTCACTTAGTTTTTATGTGCTGTTAATACCCCTTTCCTCATGCTCTTGTCAGAGTTGTCTCATTTTGCTTAAAATATGAAACATTATTGCAACTCTGCACTCATTCTTTAGTTGAGGGAGTGTTTTCTCCCACGGTGGGGCTCGTTTTCCTGTTTCAGCACTCAACCACCACACTGATCCTTGGGACTTTGGCACAGGGTTGGTGAAACACCTTTCCCAGCCCTGCTGCTGACCCAATTCAGACCACAAAAAAGCCACCAGAGATGTTTTGGCAACGTTTGGCTGTTGTGCCTGGGGGGAGCTCTGGCTTTTCTGGCTGGCCTCTTCATCGTTGTTCCTGTAGGATTCGGGAACACTAAATCAAAGCTATGTTTTAGATCTCAAAACCCCCTTGTATTTGCTAAAAACTGCTGTAGAAAGCCACTGACCTGCCTGCGTTTCAGTTGTAACCCCCATCCTGCCCTACATCTGTGTGCACAGATTTTGCAATGCTGGCTTTGGCCACCAACTTTGACTGTGTGTGCAAACCCACATTGGAAATCTCTTCACGTTCTAGCCCAGCACGTGGAATTCAGGGGTTTCTTAGCTGCAAATTACGTGCACCGAGACTGGCTTGGATTCCTGGGTAGATCAAAGCAAAAGCCATTCTGGAAAGTATTGCAAGACCATTCTCTTTTATACAATGTGCATCTAGAAGAGATACAACCAGTAATACAGCTGAAAGGTAAAGCAGGAATTGGCCAGATAACACGAGAACATCCTCACCGTCATTTCCTATCACTGCAAAACTGACATCACCATTTCAGCCCTGGTTAGGTAATGACTTACAAAGAGAGGCAGCAGGTACCAAAAACTGGGATGTATTTTGTTTGTGAGCTTGGCTGATCCCAAAGCTGGTGAAGCCACTGGGGTACTCTCATAGCATTAGGGATGTAACTCCCAACCTGCACATATATATATAACTCACAAAAAATGTTTGAAATTCAGATTTTTCTGCCAGTGACCCTTGGGACTAGTCCTAGTGAGAAGCCTGGACACAACCACCAGTCCTCAGCTCAGCCTGGGGCTCACACAAGGTCAAGAGGAGTTATGGTCTCTTCATGGAGAACACAATCACTTGCATCTCTCCAGTGGAAATCCAGAGGCATTGTGGCATGGCTTAGGAACTGTTCTGTTTACCATGGTGATGAGCATCTATAACCAGTATATAACTCTCAACATCCCTTTCTAAGGTGGTGAGGACAGTTGTGAGCTTGGCACAGTTGTTGTGAGACAGGTGGGTCCTGGTCAGATCCATCCTAGTGGCCCTCAAGCCCAGCTCTGGGTGGTGCTGAGGTCCAGGTAGCAAAGAGGCACAGCGTGGGAAATGAAGCCCTGAGCAGGTGATCACCTGGTGTCAGGCAGGGATGGAGTGAAGGAAGCAGATTTCACAGGCAGGGGGCTGTGCTGGTAGGGATCCTGGCCTTCCTCTGCCTTTTCTCACAGTGGTCATTTCAGGGAAAACCCAGAATTCCCCAAATACCGGGCAGGTTTGAAAGCTGCATCAAAATATTCTTCTGGTGTGTGGGATACCAGTTGTGCCTTTGCTCTTCTCTGAGCTAATTCTCACTTGGAACTCATAGTTGATTGGTGACAGGATTTTGTAATTAAAATTTATCGTCATAATTAACATGTGCATTCTGGCTTAGGGCTTTCCTTTTCTTTAATGTGTTTTTTTTCTTTTTTATTATTTCTGTTCACGTTCAGCCAAGCTGAAAAGGACACATGGCTCCTGAGCAGGGACTGAACTTTTAGCAGTGTAACACCCAACTCACTTGCAGTTTGTCTGTGTTTCCACAGGTACAAGTGAGGGAAAAATTTGGTTTACTAATTTCCATGGGCCCTCACACACACAGTGCTGATGGTCCTTCCTCCAGTAATACTTGGTTTAAGGTCAGATTTTTAATTTCTTCCTTCTATCAGCCAGCAGCTCCTCCAATGTCCTACACAAAGGAAAAAAAGTCTTTTCTGGTGAGTAAATACTTTCCAGCATCAGGAACTGGAGGTCCATTTGAGACCCAAACTGGGTGACCTTGGCTTGATTCCCCTGAAGTCACTAGAGAAAGCACGAGTGAAGCTAAGAGGAAATTGGCCTTCTTATCTTTATTTTTGTTGTGCAATTTTTTAAATGGAATCCAGCACACTCAGCACGTTTGTTTATGGTCATGTGCTCCTTCAAAAAAATAGATGGAGCAACAGATGCACATATGTTTAGCAGTACAGTTATCCTCAAGGGAATATTGTAGTACAGCTCATTTAATACTGAGTTATTAAGTAAAATAAAATGAAGAATCATTGCAAAAAAACCCCTAAAAATCAATGTAAATTACCATTAAGCAGCTCTGATGTAGGCAATGTTCCTAAAGGACCCAAGTGTCACTTACTGACAAATGTCAGAGCTGGGACCATCTTACACAGATTTTGGGAACAAGTGAATCTCAATTTCCATCATTATGACCTAAGAACGATTTTAATACTGTCATTCTTTCTTGTCGTGTTGCTCCCATAATGCTACAACCTACTTATTTATTCATCCATACATCAGAAAGTGAATAAAGACCAAAAGGGATTTTTTTAGGGACTGAGGGGAATTCTGACCTTTGCATTTGTGAAGTCTTAGCTAAAAATGTCTTAGTCTCAGCCTTAGCTAAAAAACTTTCCAGTTTTTGAAAAAATTAAAGCTTTATTGGCTGTATATTTTTGGGGGGCTTTTGATTACAACTTTCATTGCATAGCAAATATTTTCACTATAAATTTTTGATGTGTATTCATACACAAAAATAGCCTTCTCTCACTCTCTGTATATACACATGTCGTGTGTGGATTACCCAGGGCTATTTTTACACCTTATGGATTAGAAGATTCCCTCTGGGCTGTCCAGACCAGATGACAATTCCTCCCCTTTGAGTAATTTTCTCAAAGATTTCTCATTGCTCAATACAACATCAGCTGAGCTTTCCTCATCCCTGCCCATCTTTTCTGTGTCATCCCAGAGATGCGTCAGGACGTGTCTTTGTCCCCGAGACTTTTCCAAGGTCACTGTAGCATGAGATCAGATCCCCTGGAGTGCAGAACCTGCTCCCAGAGGTGTGATAAATTCATAAAACCATCCTGCAGTGAGTGCCCAGGTCAGGGCAGACTCCACAAATATTCCTCCTCTTGGTGAGATGTAAACACTCATCTGTGTCTTCGCAAGTGTCTCCTTATTTTTCCATCCCCAGGCTGTGCCTCAAATTAGGAGGATTAAGAGGGCAGAGAGTCTGGTGGTTAAAGCCAAGGGAGAGGTTCCAAGGGGAGTCTTCAGCAGTGTGTACACACAGCCCAGGGCAGGCAGGGGCAGAGCTATTCCTGCCCCAAATGAGGGGGTGCAAATGGAGGACATGACAGAGGGCATTCATATGACCTAATTTTAGGTCCCTAATTTAGAAGGTTGATCTTCTTGCACACCTCTGTTGCTTTCCAGTGGAAAGCAATGAGCTCTTCAGAGGGAATTTCAGAGCAGGAACCAGACTTAGAACTAAAGTGATTCCTGTGGGAGCTGCTGTCTCTGCCTTTCAGCTGCAGAGGAGCTCTCAAGAGCAGTCTTTTATCTCCAACACATCTGTCATTGCATGAAGCAGTTCATCCTTTGTGCCTCTGCTACCTCTTCTCTGCTTTCTATTTATTCAAGTTAAGGAGTTTTTGTCCATTGTCCTCTGCAGACACCAGCTTTGAACCATTTTCTCCAGGTGACTAACTGAGGAGGTGGCTCTCCATCCCTCAAAAACATGTATCTCACATCCAGGTGAGGTTTCTCTAAATCTATCAAAAAAAAAGTAGTGATAATTGACAAATCCTCACAAGCAGTTAGGGTTAGGCAGCTTGAAATCCCTCTGTTCACCGAAGCAAAGGAAAATGTTGATGGCAGAAGCAAAGCAGCTGAGCTACTCTCAGGGGAGGTTGGGAAGAGCACGACCATCAGTTTGGAGGCTTTTCTCGCGTGTGTGGGGCTGGCTCGGTGCTGTTTGCTTGCACAAAGCACCTTGGCTGGCTCTGGTGTCCATCACGGGGGGGGTCTAATGGTCCCTGTTCTCTGCCCACAGAGGCCATCGCAGCTGAATCAGCAAACACCAACCTGCTCCCCAACGGTGTCAGCTCCCTGTGCTCCATCTGCGGGGACCGGGCCACCGGCAAACACTACGGGGCCTCCAGCTGTGACGGCTGCAAGGGCTTCTTCAGGAGGAGTGTCCGCAAGAACCACGTCTACTCCTGCAGGTACCTGCCCCTGCTGCGATTAAAATGCAATTTCTGGGCGCTGTGAATGATTTGGGGTGGAGAGATCAGGTTGAACGAAGAGACCACCATGTCAAATGCCAAATTGCCATGCCATGGGTGCCAGCAGTAGGGCTGTAGTTTGGTTTGTGGCTGGAGGGCAGGGAGATGAGGAGTAAACTCAGTCCTATCTCGTCTTGGACCCTGAGGCCTCCTGTGGTACTGAGAAATCCCTTTAGTGAATTCAGCATCACTGCTTTCCCCATGGTGCAAATCAAGGAATCTCATAGACCTGAGGTTTGACTGGTGTGTAAAATACATAAATACAGGCCCTGAGTGTGGAGTGATGCCATGAACTTGTCACAGCCCAGCAAGGGAAAGCCAAAGTGGCAAAGGACCAAAGCTCCAGAGATTTCATCTCAAAACCAGTTTTTCTTGATTTTCCCTGTAAAATAGAACAAGCATCCAAGAGTCTGTCACCTCCAAAACCTCCACACATCCCTCCCCTCACAGCATCTCCATTTTTGTTTTGAAATAAAATAAATGATGTGTACTGACATATCACTGATGATTGTATGATCATTCTGAGAAATGAGCATGGACCAGAGATGATTCACATCCACTTTGGCACAGGTATGCATTTGAGAGGATTTTTTGACCAGAAGGCTATAAATTATAAATCTGCTATCTTGGTTGACCTTAGGAAAATGGTGTTTATTTCAGCACAGGAGAAAAGGGAAAAAAACCCCAAACCTGAATACACTCAAATTCTTCATCTCTAATTAAAACCTGGAAGTTTTCTTTCTGTTCCAAAGCTCTTCCTCCTCTAAGGGCATTCCAAATGTTTCCAGCGTGAGTCATCCTAATTGTGCAAAATGTTCCTGGTGTCCTTATCACTCCAGGGCACCCCAGCCATGAAAGACACCTAGGGTGACAGCAGTGTCCACCCACGTAGTGCCCATCCCATGAACCGTGGGATTCCTGAGGGAGGAGACTACAACTACTACTGGTTTCTTTGGAATTTCAGCTATCAGTCTCCTGGGAGTGGAGTTGCCGCCCCTTCCCAGGAATCCATGAATGTCTGTGATACTTGGCAGCTCAGGGAAGATCCACAGAGTCGAAGCCAAGGAAATGGCCAAGCTTGTCTGCAAGTCCTTATTTGGTGAGCTGTGCTGCATTCAGCCCAGCTCAGAGCTCGGGTACATGAAGTAACTGAAAAGTCTTGGGGCCTTTGTACCTTTGGCTTTTAACTAGTCTGGGAAACTGCCCCTGCATTTACAACCTGGTGATGGTCCCGGAGCAACCCCTGTCATCTCCTCTCTGCAGGGCAGGTTCCTCTTCCATCGCTTCACCCAACATGGCAAGAGCTGCCAAGTCTGCCTGGGCCACCCCTTGAACAGCACAGACGTTCCTAAATCCCCACAGAAATGAGGATGAATTAGGTGACCACGTGCCTCAAAACAAGGCCACAGACACAAAGGACTTGTGGTCCATAATGCAGTTATTGTACATGAAATGGGACAGATAACAAGGAAGTCAGACAAACTCCGACACCAAATAGCCAAAAACTTTCTGAAAGTGGGAGATGGAGCTCCTACAGCAGCACAACTCCAGTCACAGTCATGCTTTCACAACCAAAACCATCCCAGTCCCTGCAGGGTGGGTGGTCTGAAGTCGCTGCGCTCCCGTCTGGCAGGAGCAGCGCTCGGGAAGATGAGGAGCTGGGCCAAGCCAATGTTGATCCAACCCATTTCTTGCAAATCTTTGACTCTTCTCTAGGTCCATGAAGAAGATCAGGGAGGTCTGGGGCTGTATTTGGGGGTGCTCAGTGTGAGGGGGTTGCAGATGCCAGGCTGGTTGCTCCATGTTTTCTTTCCCATCTCCTCCCAGGTTCAGCCGACAGTGTGTGATAGACAAAGACAAGAGGAACCAGTGCAGGTACTGCAGGCTGAAGAAGTGCTTCAGAGCTGGCATGAAGAAAGAAGGTAGGTGCAAAGAGACATTTCCAAACTGCCTGTTGCTGTCTCAGACCCTGCTCCCACTGCAGAGCATTGTGGAGAACAGCAGCAGCCCTGGCTGGAGAGATGATGCTTTTTTTGTTGCAGTGACAGACTTTTTTGTTGTGGCTGAAAGCCCCACTTCCCATTTTATCTCAGTTTCAATGAGAGCCTGTTGACATTATTCACCTCTCCTGGGAGGCTGGAAAGTAGTACTGGGAAAGAGATGAGCTTCCTCAGGGTTTGTTTGGTCTCTAAGTGCTTTAGAGCAGCAATTTCCCCTCTCTCCATACCTGCCAGTGTGACTCCTAATCCCAGCTGTGCCAGTCTCAGTGAGGATCTGCCATTCTCATAAATGCCATCAGTTGACTACCTCAGATGGTGTGGTCAGCTTGGCTGATGCTCGTGTAGCTTCCTGCAACTCTCAGGGCAAGGTACAGCCTGGGCACGATCCTTTCAGTGGCAGAGCTGGTCCTTGGTGGCACAGGGCACACGGGCAGTGCTCCTGGAGGAGATGACTCAGGTGTCCCCCGAGCGTCAGAGCCAAGCCCTTCAGTTATTCTGTCCTCGTGGTGGTTACAGCATGGCCATGAGCCACCAGTAGCACCAGTACTGAAGGGCCAATCCAAACTTGGCCAACACCTTTTGCTGCACTTCCCACAGGCTGCATTTAGGAAGGAGGTGGAGCTTTGTAGGTTTGGGTACCAGTGGCCATCAAGTGCCCTTTCAACACACTGAAGGAAACACTGAGTGTCACTGGGACTAATGCTGAGCATGAGAAAACCCACTCTGTTAACCTGTGCCTATATCCGGATTCTCTGGGAAAGTCTGGGACCTATCCCAGCATTTCTGTTCCCTGCTCATCCAGTGTCTTCATACTGGGAGAGCGTGGATGATACTGTTTTGCTGATTCCAAGCTTTTCGTGCTTCTCCACTGAGTGCTCAGCAAAGTGGGGACCCGACCCACAATGGGTGGTACGTCCCCGTGACATGTCGGTGGTTGGGTGGTGGTTTCAACACTCTCCACCCTGTATTTGTGCTGTTTTCCAACCCACTGACAGCTGAAAGATGAAGGAGGTAGAAAGGAGCTTGAGAGTTTCTTTCCATGCCACTGAGTTCACTCAAGGGGTGAAACTGTGGTTCCACTGAAACCAAGGGGAAATTTGCCACTCTTTTCTGGTAATTCATAAGATTTCACTGGTGATGAGACAATCTTTCCAATGTTCTGACCATATGTTTTCCTGGAGAAGAGGAAATTTGAAATTTGGCATAAGTCATGGATGTAGCAAAAATGCCTACTGGTTTATTTCAGGAGAAATGGAGTAAATACAGCAGATGAAAAAATAATTAGAGTTTGAATTAATTAAGGCCAAACCAAAGCTGATCTGGTCAATTCTAGATGGGGATAAAGCCGATTGCTGATGTAGCTCCAGTGCTTGGAAAGGCTGAAATCTGGTTATCAGCTCCATTCTTTGAGCTGAAGCATGATTTTTATTGGGTTTTATGGTAAAAGTTATAAAACCTTGGCTCAGGCCTTCATCACTGATTGCAGCTTGATGGAAGATGACTCATTTCAAGTTCCACATGGTCACATTCTTTGAAACTCTTTTATGAGTGCACAGTCAGGTTGTGTGCTCACAGACTGCTCATGTGTTTGGGAAGGAGGATTTTAAAGCACCTTGAGCAAGTGCTTTGCAGAAATCAGCTTAGCTGACCAGAGCTATATCCCAAGCACGTGTGCAGGAGTGGGAAAGAAATTTTCTTGCACAATTGTGTGCGCAAAAAGAACACAGCTGTTTGCCTTGGGGTGGTTCTAGATTAATATTAAACAGAATTGCGAAGCTTGAGGGAAAAAGAGAAGCCATGCCTTGGATGGAGTTCTGTTAGGAGGATACAAACATTTGTACAAAACCTTTTGGCAGTGTGCACAGGTCTGTGCTGGGAGGTGGCAGTGGTGACATCCACACTCGCCGTGGTCTGTGAACCAAGAGCTTGACACCCTTTCCCTGGCACATCCCTTCCGAGCCAGCCCCTGTAACAGCAATCAGACTTTCCAGGGTGTGGTAATAGCATTGTTTACCCATGGCAGAGGGGAAGAAGCTGGAAATGATCCTTTTCCCAGGGAAAATACACCTGGGATGGGGTGAGCCAGGGCTGTGTCACCCTCACGCTGAGGGTGCCCCACTGACCCACTGCTCAGTGTCTGTGTGTGCAGTGTTAGAGAACTTGCTGTTCCTCAGCAAAACTAACTGATAAACTGCAATTTTGGATCCAGAGTGATCTTTTTTTTTCCAGTCTTCCTGCTTTGTAAGACGTGATGTGACACTTTTGGATCTTTCTTTTTTTCTCTGTTGTTTTTTTTTTTTATTTCCATTTTGGAAACAATTCTAGTGGATAAGATTTTTCAGGGTGCTATGCAGGGAAATTTCTGCCTAAAGAAAAATCCATGTGATGCAAACACCTGAACTAGCTTTAAACTGTGTCAGGAGAGGTTTGCCATTTGGGGCAGCTGGGCAGATGTTTAAGAAAATTATCAATAGGATCTTTAGATTGCCTAGTTTGTATACTCTGAATTTGATCCTACCTTAAGAAAGGACCAAGACTGCCCCACACGAGACACACCTTCAAGCTTGTGCATTGAGATGGAACCCAGGTTCCATTAGTGCCAGCAAGACCAAGATAGGGCCTAAACTTGAGTCTTGTGGAAAGTCCAGTCCCCAGAGTTCTTAGAAATCAGCTCATTCAGGAACACTCCTATCCCAATTACTTTTTTGGTACCAGGAATTCACTTTAACATCAGTCATCAGAACTGGGACAAGGGGAGAGCAAAAGGCTTGCCTGAACACAAACCCCTTCTGGTCTCCTGAAACACCTCTAAGATGAGGATTTAAGATTTTTACAGAGATTCCCTCCTTTATCCTTGTTTTGTGGTTAGGGCCAGGACTGTGCCACAGGGGGGTCTGGGTGCTTGGGGGATTTTCTGGCTGTTCTCCCTGGTTTTCTCTCTTTGCACGGAAGGTTTGATTTCCATTGTCTTGCTCAATGCTACGGGACAGGTTTGTGGTCACTACACCACCAGTGTCTGAGGGGAACACCAGGTACTTAAACACACAAAGGAAACAGCAGGATACTATTTTTAGCATCTCACTGAGATCATGTTTGACCTTGAATCAATTAGCAGGATGTGATTTCTCAAGTGAGCCAGGTCATCTCCTCACATGGAGCTGAGTGAAAACCTGGAAGCCATTTGAAATGCCAGCACTGCACTGTCAGGATTCAGTTTGCTGATGGAAAAAAAAAAGAGGGGTTAATATTTAACCCTTCATCCCCTTCAAAGTAATTTATGAATGTGCATGAACTCCTTTAGTTTCATGCAGAAGTAAAAAGAATTATCGTATCACTTACTGCCACAACACAGTGGAAGGGTATGTGGCTATTTTTTATTTATTTTTGTGAAATTGGACAGGTTTATAGGACAGTTTTATTAGTGTTTTGAAGGACCTCTGTCTTGTTTCATACCTTTTGTTTACACATCTCTTCTGCCAGCTTTCAGAAACTGGGACTGCAGTTTATTGCAAAGAAGGATGGAAAAGATAAAGGATCTTCTCCACCTGCATTAGTCATAAATCACCCCAAAACCCATGAAAGGATTAAATGTGTTTGTACCACTGGGATTGATTTGCGAATAAAACATACCACACCTACAAAATCTGAGGCAGCTTGGGGAAAAAAGATTATTTGTGGATATAAATTAATCAGGCAGCAGGAGGAGTAAATCTGTTGGTGGAGACAGAAACACTGTGAGCACCAATGAATGCCAGCACTGCACAGGGCACTCGCACCTCCCTCCTCCTGCTCTCTCCCTATGCCATTTATTAATACATTCCCAACTCCCCCAGCATTAAATGAGGATGTTTTTAGTGGAATAATAATGGAAACACTAATTCCCATATAGACAGGGCTTTAACCTCCACAGCTGCCGTGGAAAGTTACTGGTTTGCTGCTCTCCCCTTCCAGCCAGTGCCTGTGCCCGTATTTATTGGACTCCCTGGAGGTTCCTCATCCCAGGCTCTGGGATGGCAAAGCAGCAAGGACACATTGTTTGGGGCACAGGGGGTTGTTGCAATGCCACAAACACGCCGCTGTTTGCTCAGAGCCGCCCGCGTGTCCCACAGCCGGTCCCGAATCCTTCATGTGCTCCTGGCAGGAGGGTCCAGCCTTGCTCTGAACAACAAACCCCCTCCGAGGGCTCCTCTACGTCACAGGGAGAATATGTTTGTTTTCCCATCTCCTTCCCACAGTCAGGATGTGCTGTAGCAATGACAATTCCCTGGAGGGAGACATGGGCATCATCTCACCCTCTCTTCCCTTCCCAAGGGGAAAGCCCGGCTTGGGGCCACACTGTCCCTGCCCAGATCATGGTGGGGACTTACAACCACTGACGTCCCCTTTAGTGGGGCTGCAGTGGCCCTTCACAGTGTTTATTTGCTTTGGGAATGTGCAGAGGACAAGATTAGGGGGAAACAAAAACCGAGGAGCAAAGCTTTTGCCAGAAACATACTGGAAACGGCAGCCCCTGGGAGTCAGTCAGTCAGCACTAGAGTTTTAGTCTTTCCTGCAAGTTTGCCGAGTTTTACTGATGCAAAGCCAAGATCACACCTGAGCCCAGCACCCCCAGGGCCAGCACGTCCCTTGAGCCTTCCCACTGCCTCACCACAAGTGACCTATCCCTTCCTTTTTACAAATACAATAAATATAGCAATATAATTACCACACAGTAATAGATTAATTTTTGTGGCAGGTAAAACATTAACTCCCTCCCATTCGTATCTAATTCCATCACGTCTTGGGTACTTTCAGAGATAACACCCAAATCACCTTGAGAAAGTTGGTCTGTACCATCCACTTACGCTTGAAGATTGAGCTTATCAGAGCATGAGGGAAGCACTGAAATATGTGCCATAAAAAGATCTGGAAGAAAAACAGGCTGAGGCTTCTTAAAGGAGTCTGTCACTGGGGACCAGGTCTGCCTGGGTCTGTAGGGCTTATGTAAAATGACATGTGTAACTCAGTTGGAAAGGCAAAATTTGTACCTTTTCTTGAAAGTGGGCAAAAAGAGCCCCATTAGCCCCTGGGAGCTACATGGGGGAGCATCTGATATGAAACCAGGTGTAGAAGCTTGGGTGGGGACTTTCCAAAAAGTCAGTGATGACACAGGTTTGGTCAGGCTGAGTGCTGGGTGCTGCTGCCCATCTTCCTGGTGTCCCATTAGAAGCCATGAAGGGTTAATCCATTCCAAAGATTAATCATAGCTTGTGATTCCTATAACCACCCTCACCTTCAGGCTGGTGAGGGTCCTTGGCTGAACACCCCCATGCACAGGGAGGTGCTAAGGTGGGTTAGTTGAGCTTTCCGAGGGCTGTAGTTGTTTTTTTTCTCTAAATTGATGAGTAATTGTTTGTAAAGGCTCCAGGAATATGTCTGTGTGTTGTCTCTGTCAGAGATCAATGTACCCATCCAGCCCCTCACAGGCAAGGTTGATTCTGAGGTACAGAGTGGTTTTGGTGGCTGGAGCCCAGCAGACCCCCCCCAAGCACAGCCAGCTCCTGACTGACAGCAAGGCTGAGCCCCAAATCTTGGAAAATAAATACTCCTGCCGATAAGGGGAGATATTGATTTCTGTCACTGCTGCTTGTTTTCTGCCCTTTCACTTTGTTGGCCTTTCATCAGAGGCTGGTTAGGAAAACAGAGCAGCAGCTGGACATGAGCTGACAAAAACCCACCTTCTCCCTCCTTGGGCAAAACGGTGCCCACATTCCCCCTTTGCAAGAATTCCCAGGAATGAGTCCTGTGCAGAGTGATGCTCTAAAACAAGACCCAGCAGGGAGGCAAAGTCCCAAAAGAATGATGGCAACAAGATTTTTTTGACTCTGCAAAAAAGAAAAAAAAAAAAAAATCATTCCTGGAAAAATCTTCTCCAGTGGCCACTTTTGAGACAAAACCACAGTGTTTTACACCCAAGGGGTTAAAGCACAGAGTGAGTCGTGCTTTGACAGCTTTGTCTGAGTCACTCCTAAATAAAACCAAAGGAGTCTGGAATTGCTGGATGAAGGAGGAGGGATGTGTTGCACTATCACCACATGCTAAATCTTCTCGCTCCCTCTGCTTTAAGGACCTGACAACTGCCTTTCTGAGCTGTAGCAAGATGTCTGAGCTGCCAGGAAAACACCAAGTCTGTGTTCAAGCTCCTTTCCCCAACCCTGTGTGCTGCTGGACAGAGGCAACGGGTCTTAGGGGAGAAACCAACGCTGAAAACAGATTGGACTGTGCCTAAATTCTCCTTTTTTCTCTGCTGCTGTGTTATTTGATGGCTGCAGTGGAGGCGAGGCAGCTCTTGGAGCCCGTGTTGCAAAAATAAGCTGCTGAAGTGCAATCCATGCCTTATGTTCAGTGTGCAGGGCTGATGGAGAAGGGGCTGGATGGGCTTTGTGCTTCAGGGACAACGAAGGTTTAAAGGGTGGAATGGGTCTCAAAAATCAGTGTTTTTTTCAAATTCACTGTGGCATGGTCATAACTTTCTGTCTGCAAAGAGCTTGGGCTGGTGTTCACTCTGCTGTGGTCCTTATAATATGCCCAGGACCTGTGGTACCACTGTTATTAATAGTTTGGGACACTCTGAGCTGACTTCCAGCTCATTTTCCAGGGATTTGTAGAGGGTGGCAGCTGGGCTGGGAACAAACCCTGGCTTGGTCTGTTCCCCAGTGTTGCTGTCAGGGTTTCAGGCTCACTGGAATCAGCAGCATGAAGGGCAAGCCTGAGGAATGGTTTTGAGGGGGAATCAGTGAATTTAAGTTTCCTTTCTTTGGACCTTGCTTAATGAGTCACTTTTCCTGCTGCCCATGAGTGGTGGAGATGTCCCCTGGGACAACCACCTGTGATGCCTCAGGGGCAGGGGACATTTCAAAGCTGCTTTGAGGTGGGATTAGAGAGTGAGTTTTCCGGTGGTGCCGTAAGAGGAGCTGCAGCCTCAGGAGCATCCTGCTGCACTGGGAGCTCAGGGGAAGAGTCCTTAGTGCAGACATGGCAGAAAGGGTATCAAAGGCCAGGGCTCCAGCACTGTGGGTGCACTGCTAAGTGAAAAGGGTTCACACTAAATCCCTGAACTCCCCCTGAGCTGCATCAAACCCAGTGGGAGCAGCTGACATCCCACAGGTGTTGCTCTGACTCCCAGATGGCCTCATCTCCCTCTCGGGTTTGGTCTTCTCCCTCCCTCAGAGCCTGTTTAGTCTTATTCCAGCATCCAGCAAGAGTGGAGTGTCTTGCAGGTGCTAAAGCCTTGTCCACTCCTGTTTAGGCACCACAAGGAGCAGCAGCCATGGGCTGTGGGGGGAATTTTCTCACAACCACTGTTCACTCTCTTCCCAGCCGTGCAGAACGAGCGCGACAGGATCAGCATCCGCAGGAGCAGCTACGAGGACAACGGCTCCCTCTCCATCCACGTGCTCACCCAGGCTGAGGCCATGGCACAGCAGGTATGACATGTGGGGACAGCCCTCCAAACGTGGCCTTCAGCTATTCCAACCCACTAAACCATCCGGGTTTTCCACCTTTTGAGGTGGAATTTCTAATCCAATTTTTTGTTTTGCCGTGTGTGTTCAGCCTTTGCCATGGTTTGGCAGCATGTTCTTTATCATTAGGCATTCACTGTAAGAGAAAGGCAGTTAAAGAACAAAGGAACTTGTATTTTAAGTTGTTGAAGGAAAGGGTCTCTCTTTTTTTTAAAGTTTTACAATTCAGAAAGTGAAGTTGAACAGCTGCAGAGAAAAAAAGAATCCTCTTCATAGTCAAATGATTCTAAATTAAAAAGAAAAGAAAACAATCAAAAATCCTTATCAAGTTCTTTGGGAAAGAGAAAAGGAGGAAAAAGTCTAAGGAAAGCCAAAACAGCTAATGTTGCAGTTTTTACAATTACTCATATCCTATGACTGAGGAAAAGGTAATCCTGAGATTGAGGAAGCAAGGTAAAAATGAGCCAAAACTGGCCATGGATCTTCCTTCTGTCCTTGGATGACTCTTGCACAAACCCACAGGGAAGAAAATGCATTAGAGATACCCAAAAACAGACAGGAAAAATCCTTGGTGCGTTATCAGGGTAGGATACCCTGTTGCCTTTGAGGTATGAGGAACAAAGCTGAAATTCCAGGGCTTAGGGATGTTGCAGACCCTGGGTCCCCTATTCCCTTATCCTAAAATTTTTGCTGCACCCCTAAAAATTCCTGGCATTCACATGGAAGTTTATCCCTCCTTGCTGCCCACTCTGTCCTGCTCCAAACATAATGTTTCCCTCATGGTTGATTGTATCTTCTCTTATAACTTCTTTATCAGGGTAAGAATTTTAGGGTGGAAAAACAATGTGAATAAAATCACTGGGCTTCAGCTAATGCTGATTGCTTTTTCATTTCATGTTCCACCATGAATTTCACCCTGAGTGTCCTTTAAACTCTTATGCAAATACTCTTTTTCCACTGAAACATATGGTCCAGATGTTGTGTATTACATGCAGCAATGAGTCCATTTCCTTCTCAAAAATGCTGTTTTAACCCTCCCACCCCCAAGCAGCCCTTCAGAAATCAAAAAGGGTGTTTTGTGTCCCAGACAGTAAGTTGGAGGAGAAAGGCTGGATGCGTTTCATACATTTGGCTGGGTTAAGTGACTGATAGGAAGCTGAGCCCCGATGCTGCTAGGAATGGGAATGTTAATGAGATTTTGTCCTGAGCCAACCTGGAGAGCGGGAAGGGAGGCGGGGGAGGGAGGGGAGTGTGTTGGGACCGAGCACCACCTCGTGGAGGCTGCACCAGGGGCTGTGCTTGGATAGGACACGCTGCTGAGCAGATGGGTGTGAAACCACAACGGGAAACGACTTGTCCAGGGCCTCATGAGGATGAATTGCTGCTCTGGAGAGTGGGAAAGCAGCTTTGATCTGGTCCCAACGCAGCTGGGTTGTTCCTCTTCCAGTATTTATCCCTGAGCCCGGTGCACAGCACGGACATTGCCATGAAGAAGGTTGCAACCATCAATGATGTGTGTGAATCCATGAAACAGCAGCTTCTGGTGCTGGTGGAATGGGCAAAATACATCCCAGCGTTCTGTGAGCTCCCACTTGACGACCAGGTAAAATGCATAAACCTTTTCCCTGCAAACCCACTGCCTTTGATAGGAATTCCCAGCCTTGGATAGGAATTCCCAGCTGTACCTTTCAACAGGAGAATCTGACATTAACATACATTAACATATGCAGAGCGATAAACTAACAGGAGAGAAAGAGTAATAAAGGCCAAAGGATCAATTAAAAATAACTTGAGTAGCAAAGTCCCCTAAATATAATAGGGTTGGTCAGTCCAGTCTGCAAAAGGACCCAATCAAAGAAGACTGATTTTCCCTTTACTGGTACCTGGCAGTTGAATGTAAAAGCTGTTTATTTCCTAAGAACTCAACTAACTCAAATCCCTCTTTGCTCTTTTAGCTGAAAACAACTTCTTATTTAGTTTGCTGTGAATGTAGCACTTCTCAAATTGAACATATTCTGATATTTTCTAGCTCTTAATAGTACTTTATCTGTAGATCTGACATATCTAAGCAAACACCAAATTTGACTTAATTAAACAGCAACATCTCAGCACCCCTTTCCCTGCTTTTCAAATATAATATTATGTCTTTCTTCTATGCCCTCTCCAGGTTGCCTTGCTCAGAGCCCATGCAGGGGAGCACTTGCTCCTCGGGGTGGCCAAGCGGTCCATACCATACACTGATTTTCTGTTGTTAGGTAAGGTAGTGAAATCCACTCCTGCTTTTGTAATTCACTCCCCCAAGTCATTGCCAAGTATTCTGCCTACCTGAAATCCCCCTCCTGGGCGTGGTCTGCACACCCGGGATGAGACTCAGTGCTTGGGAAGTGTCTGGAGAAGCGTAAAAAGCAGCAAGAAAATTCAATGGGATTTTTATAAATCTTCCCTTACTGCTTTGAAATTTTGGATGAGAACCCCCTCAGTATTTAACTGGCATCTCAGACTGTGTTGCCTTATTTTTGTAACTGAAATTGCTAAGACAGAAGCAATGAGGTATTTGGATATCAGTCCTTAAAGACTTAGCAGAAAGGTCTATTAAAAATTATAGTGCACATAGGTATTGCCTTTTCATGCAGCTCTCTGTCACCAAAACCACGGGTGGGATTGTTCTTGGAAAAATGAGAATGTGACCTTGAAAGCCACACACTAAAGACAAGAAGGAGGGATATATTTGTTTAAAAAAAACCCACACCAAAAATAAAGATGCAACACTGCTTACAAACAGGTGCTCTATATAAGAGAGGATAAAGCAGAGCAGAACGTGGAGCAGGCTTTGTGTGCAGTGTGGATGTGCACTGACATGTGCAAATGAGATAATTAAGGACCAAAGAATGAGATCCATGGCTTGCTTCTCAATTGGGGATCAGATCAGGAAGCTGCAGACTGGAAATCTGCTGCAAATGGGCACCTGGACTAGCTGGCAAACAGGCCTTGGGGTAACTGCAGGCTGAGACCGTGTCTGCAGAGCTAGAGCCGACATCTAATGGTGAGTTTTTTCTTGTCTCCCCAGGGAATGATTTCATCATCCCAATGCACTGCCCAGAACTGGAAATCGCTCGTGTGGCCACCAGAATCCTGGACGAGCTGGTGAAGCCCTTGCGGGACATCCAGATCGATGACAACGAGTACGCCTGCCTGAAAGCCATCATCTTCTTTGATCCAGGTGAGCTTCCTCCTGACTGCCAAGATGGGCTTGGAGAGGAGTTGAGGGCCTTCCAATAACCAGGAAAACCCCTTGGCAGCAGCTCTGCATTTCACCCTGCCTGTGCTGTAACAGCCAGTGCTCGGCAGTGCAGTCAGAAGTGACCTATTCCTGAGTGTTTTGCTGTTCAGCAAATTAGAACTCCAGCCAGGCTAATGTGCAAGACTGCAGGCCCTGGAGCAGTTTGGCTGCTTCACTAGCTTGGCTTTGGGAAAGCCCATCAGCCTGAAATGCAGGAGATGACTATTAAGGACATATATGCCTGTAGTGAATTATGTATAAGCAAAGTGAGTCAGCAGAGCAGCAGTGGAGCTCTGTCAGGGTCCAGAAAGCACCATTAAAAACCACAGAGAGCTGGGCTGGTCAGGGCACCCAGAAATATCAGGAATCTGCTAATGGATGTTGCTGGCAGCCAGCACTGGCCCAGGGCAGGGCTGATCCACACAGGACAGAGAACAGGGAAACACAGAGGCAAACAACAGCTTGTTTTGAAGCTTTGCTCATTCCAGAGGCCTGGGGGTTCTGTCTCAGCCCAGGCTCTCCCCAGGCACTGCTGCTTCTACAGCACACAACCTCTGCTTGCTACAGCACTGGGGTCCCTTCAGTGTGCATTGCCCTGGAGCTCAGAGAAGAGATAGGGGAACAACCCCAAGCCCAGAACAATGCCCTTTTATCCTTGGCATCTATTAGCATGGAGAAATTAGAGTATCTTCCAGTAATTATTGTTTTCTGCTGCGTTTGCTGATTCAAAACCAAGATCCAGGAGTTTTAGAAACACCACAAACTTCAGCTCTCCAAAGAGTGAACAGAGGGAGGGTGATATTAGCAAATTGAGTTTGACAAATCACCTTCTCAGCTGATCAGTGTCTCTGTGCAGCTTAAGATCAATGTGACAGTGAGGAGCTGAGATTTCAGCTGAAAGGAAAGCTGAAAGGAGCTTCTGTGAAGCTCTACAGAAGTGAAGTTCATTCATGCTAACAAGCAGGCACGTCCTCAGAGCTGCATGCTGACATACAGTCATTTGTTAACCACTTTATCTCATCTCTTGGCACTATGATCCCTAAAACGTGGTGCCTGTGGTTTCTTTGTAGACAGTGAAGAAAATGGTGCAGTGATCAGAAATTTCAGTTTTAGATACCAGCAGAGACAGCAGTGGAAAGCTGTAAATCCCAGCACTTCATCCTTACCCAAAGTCACATTTACTTGCTTGAGCAAAGCTGGACCAGTGACCCATGAAAAATAGGATTGACCACAGGTCAAAGACAGGAGAGCGAGACAAGAACCTGTTGCTGCATGAGGTGTAATTACAACATATACAGGCACTAAAACCATGGATTTAGTGGTAGTAGTTGGAACTCAAAGTTTTCAGGGGAAAATTTGGGGCCCCCAAAAAATTTAACTTCGTATCATTTTTCCCTCTTGTCAGTTGTTTGGTTGGAAGAATAATTATGATTTAACTTCTGAATCTTTCCTCTTTACTAATGGCAGTAGGCAGACATGTCCACTTCAATCAAGCTTCTATTTTCTTACTGTTACCCTTCAAAGTCTCCTCAAATTATCGTGTCTCCTCAAATTATTGTTTCCCCTCAAATTACTGTTTCCCCTAAAATTCCCCTTACTGCTTCCCTATTCCACGTGAGATATCCCAAGGCTAATCTATCACCTTATCTTGGACTCTGTCAGAGGATCACTTGCATCTCATCCTTTTCCCTCTGCAGAGCCTGACTGACAGGGCAACGCTTCTCTGGTTACACAGGCCAGCAATTAACTTCCTTTTCCCCCTCCCCAGACTGCAAAGGCCTGAGTGAGCCTGGGAAGGTGAAGAACATGCGTTTCCAGGTGCAGGTGAACCTCGAGGATTATATCAACGACCGCCAGTACGACTCCCGGGGCCGCTTCAGCGACATCCTGCTCCTGCTGCCCCCCCTGCAGAGCATCACCTGGCAGATGATAGAGCAGGTCCAGTTCATGAAACTCTTTGGAGTGGCCAGGATCGACAGTCTGCTGCAGGAGATGCTGCTGGGAGGTACGAACACTGCTGAGGAAGGACACCAAAGCTGGATTATCTCAAAGCTTTTGTTTACAGGGCTTCGTGCCTGGGCTTGTGTCTTCTGGAGGATGTGGGGTAGGGAGAACAGGGATGGTTTTAAACTAAGAGTAGGCTTAGATTTGAAATTAGGAATAAATTACTGTGAGGGTGGTGAGGCCCTGGCACAGGTTGCCCAGAGAAGCTGTGGCTGCCCCATCCCTGGAAGTGTCCAAGGCCAGGTTGGGTTGGGCCCTGAGCAACCTGATCTAGTGCCCATGGCAGGGGGTTGAAACTAGATGATCTTTAAGGGCTTTCCAACCCAAACCATTCTATGACTCCATGAACTGTGGCTTGAAAATGGGTCTCTCTTACTCCAGTCCAATCCCAGAGCCCTTACTTTCCAGTCTAGCTCTAAAAATCTGAAAAGTTTTATAGCAAAGGGTACTCTCTGTGGTGTGTTCCCAGTGGGGCACTTGACTTTTAGGCCTTCTACCAAACTGAGGCAGTTTGCAAGAAGACAACACACTTTTTGTTAGCAACATGCAGAAGTTATAACTATATGGGGAACCCTGATAAGAGCAGCAATTGGGACACACACACAGACAGAAGAACAATGTGGCTGGATATTAGTTGAAAGCCCAGACATCCCAGGAGGTTGTTCCTAGACAGTGAGAGGCTGAGAGCAAAGAGGGCAGCAGAGCAGGAAGGAAGCAAAGATGAGCCATTAACCTTCACCCACAGAGGTCTTCCACATCCTCTCAATAAAGAAGATTTAGCCCAGAGCATCTGGTTTCTTAGTAACTATGCAAAGAATGATGTCTTTTCCCACTTCCTCTACAGGAACCACCGTTGATGTCCAGTACCAGTCAGGACCTCCCAACCTCAACCTGGAACCGCTGCCAGGACATGTCCTCCAAAGCAACATGAACTCTGTGATTCACACAGCTCCAGACCGTAGGTGTCCATCTTCACATTGTCAGCATAACGAAGGGGCTGGGCAGGAGAAACAGTTAAGGAACAGATGTTTATTTATATGAGAAAAAGTTCACGCCCTTCTGGCTGACTCCTTTACGTGCTTCCAAAGAGAAACTGGGATTTTCACATGGCAGCACGATCCGGAGAGGTTTTGAGATGTTACTAAAACATCACAAGGTAGAAAAAAAAAAAAAAAAGAAATCAAGATTGGGGACAGTGTGTTTCTATGGTCGTGGGCAGCACTGGGAAATGCCACAAAACAGGACACATAGTTATTAGTGGCAGGAGTTCCCTGTGTAAAGCTGGTTGTTGTCAAACTGAATACAAGACTATCTTCAACCACCCTGGGCACTGCTGCCAGGCCATGGCTATTGGTTAAGGCATTTGTCCACTGTAGGACCATGCTGTTAAAAAAAGAAAGTAGAACAGCAATTGTAATTTAACAACTGCTGTCATGTAATCACAATGTCTTGCACACAGTCTCCTTCTGCCAGTTACAATCATATACCTCTTGTAGTGTATTTTTGTTTCTTATAGGGTATTTTTGTTTCTTGTTTCTTGTAGTGTATTTTGTTTCTCTGCCATATAAATGTTGACATCATGTATTTTAGGTTGTGTTTATTTAGGGTTTTTTAAGCCACCTTACAGCCCAGGTTAGGGAGATGCTGTGTTCTGGAAATGCTGTACAGTGGCCTGCAGGTTGAGCTCTCTTCTGAGGAGAGGAAGGATTGAAAAGCAGTTGCAGGCATCTCCCAGGTGCAAAATACTGAGAAGAGTTGGCACGTGCTTATCAGCCCACTCTGTGCCTCCTCACAAACCAGGAAGGAAGAATATGCCAGAACATGCCTGAATTTGGGATGGATCCCCCTGCCCCATACCCCAAACTCCTGCTCCTTGGTTCACAGTATGGTTTGCTGACACCATTTGGGCTCTGCTCTACTGAACAGCATCCAAGTCCACATTAATTCTGTTTTTTTTCTCTCCCACAGCATCTCCTGAAACATCCCTTCCATCTCCTTCTACAAGCACAGGCAGTGAAGACTATAAACTAGGTCCTAGCGCAGGACCCAGCGCCGTAGCACAGCTCTTGCCTCAGACAGTGATGCCCAAGCAGGAGATTTTATAGGGAGAGGTGGAAGGAGAAGCTGGGAGCAATGTGGAAACCATGCTGACAGTGAAACGGGCCCTTTCTCTTTGCAGAGGCAAAGCACAGCACCCCCCTGCCCGCAGCCGGACCCGTCGCTCACACCCTGTCCCGGCCGTGACTCAAGCACCAGGTCCCAGCCTGCAGCAGCATCCTCACCTTGGGGACTCCCACCACCTTTGCACAAGGGATTGGGGTTCATGCTCTCCCCAGCAGGACCAAGAGTGCAAGCTCTTCGGAGCAGGGCTTCCGATTGCGTTTGTTATCGCCTTGCTTGGTGCGATCACGACCCTTTTAAAGCCTTCAGCCACTTTCTTCATCCAAACAAGTGCCTTGCACAGCTCCTGGTAATCACTAACATGTACAGCGTGTCCTGAATTGGTATGGAAAGGTCTATTCCCATCAAAAATTTAATTACACTCCCTTCTCCTGCTGCATGTTAAGCTTTAGGAATATCTTCATAACCTTTACCAGGCCAAACGTTTCTTATTCCACACAGAGGTGCCTTGTTCCACACAGGCCAGCCAACATTTAGTGCTGGTTAGTTATTATTTATGATCAGGAATGCCAACATTTTGTCATTTTCCATCATTCCCAGTATATGTGGAGCCCAGTTGTAAGTCATTTGATGGATCTTCTATTTTGTGAGCACTTCTAACACAGCTCCAAGAGGGCAGCAAGGATCTCTGCCCCACTCCGTGGCTGCTGGTCTGGGAAACCCTCAGCTCAAGGAACTGTTGACTTACCCAATCCCTGCTTTGTGCAACACACATAACAAAAAATGCCCCAAAACACATTTTCCCAGTACACAGATATGATTTTGCTGTAGTTTCCTGCTTCTTTGTAGTATCTGCAACCTAAACTTCAGAGCTCAAAATTAGCCAAAAAAGGAAGAGGTAGATCTTCTGTGAACCACTTAGAAAAAACTGTTTGTATTTAAAACATTAGGTGTTTCTGCACTTAATGTAAAACTTAATCAGTGGTAGGTGGCCAACCATTAACCATGTTACAACTGGTTAAATAAGCCCAACCATGACTGTACAGCCTCAAGTGTTCCTAAAGCCTGGTATTTGTGTTGTGGAGTGGATTTCAATGAATGGGACTTCATTAGAAAGCAGAGTATCAGAGCTCTACAAAACTTACGCTCATTTGTACAATGACCTCTGTCAGACAGCTCTGGAGGGAGCAGGAGTGGCCACACTGAACATTAGGACATGATGGAAAACTCTTAGTGCTGTCCCATTGGATAAAATCCCAACCCACGCATGGCCTTGTTCACGGCAAAACTGAGATGATGGTGCCCAGTGGTGGCTTTTTGAAGCACTTGGAGCTCCTTGAGGGAAGAACACCATGGAAATGGGATCTTATCAATTCAAAGAGAACTTGAGAGGAGCATCTGAACTTCCACTAGAAGTGGAACACTCAGTATTCATTCCTTGGGGAGATATTTAGTGTTGCCATTCTACAGCACCAGAGAGATCTGAAAACCATCAAAGACTGGGTTGAATTTCACCTGGATCACAATGTTTTATTTTTCTCCTGCCTGTGATGAATTTGATCTGACATTATATGCTGATAACTTCCATTTGAAACAGCTCTGTCTGGAAAGCAGGTTCCCCTGGAAGCATTCCTGCTGCATGACAGATGCAACTGCACCGAGCCAACATTGCTCCCAGTTCCTCCAGCAGGTCGATTACATTCCTTTTCAAGACATTAAATGTACATTTATACTCGTTAATGGTAAGAAAATAAATCTAGGGGGGAAATAAATTCCATATTCTCATATTTCATATGGACAGTTTGCCTTTTGTCTTTCATTCAAAACCCTTCCCGAGGTTCTCCACTGATTTCTCCAATGCAAATAGCTTTGGGAATTATTTTTCATAAAAAAGAATCATCTATGGCTTCAAAGCCCAGCTTTCACTGAGACTGATGGAATTAACAATCTAAGATATTATAGAAGAAAATAAAGTTGTCCAGGAACCAGTGGATATCAGATTCAGCCCCCACTGTTCAGCTGGTTGCAGCAAGAATAATTTACTCCATTAAGGCCCAAAATAGATTCACAGCAAAAACCCCTTTCTGGCTTCTCTATGTCAAACCCCACTCTAAATCAAACCAATGTTCTTATGCAAACATACCTTGGAAGTGACTATTTCATTAGATTTATTAGAATCATGATTTTGTTCACAAAGGGGGTTCCAAGCCATTATTTAAGAATATTCCAGTGGCTGGGCAAGATGCCACTGCTTATGAGAATGGTGCATGTCAGGTCTTACCTATTTCTACGTTATCTGTTTCCTTAGCAATTATACTATTGGGCTTCATTAACAATGAATTTAGATCTTACATTAATACTGTAGTGTAAGATAAAGTTAAAGAGAAATTGCAGCAATATTTTGGAGGTGCAAAGTTTCGCTTATGTTATTAAGACACTAAGCCTGTGATTGCTTTGATGCCTCTTGGCTGTTTCCCAGAGCTCTAATTGGGTATGACAAGAGGGATGTGCTTTACAGTAGCACATGTGCTACTAGAACACAGTTGGGAAAGGCTAACATAAATTAAGACATTCAGAACACACACTCACAGAAAAAAAAAGAGTGAAAGAAGCAAAATAAAAAATTAATCTCATCAATGAAGAAGCACCAACTCACATTAAAGCACAAAGTACATCACATGAACTGACCTGTAACTCTGTTCAGAAGAGTAACACTTAAAAAAATATACAGAACCAGTGCTGGTGCACTTTGTTTTAGTGTTATTAACATATTCCATCATCATTTTACAGTCCAGTTTCTGTATTTCAAAACCCCTTAAGCCACTTTCCTTCTCCAGTAGCATTAAATACATTCACAGATGACCGTGGTACCAACAGAAAGAAGTGAGAACAATTGTAGAAACACAACGTTTGCACACAGAAGGGCACAAAATAGCCCATAAATGAATTGCTGCTTGCCCAGGGTTCAGGAAACAATATTGATGTTACTACTGGAAATTAAACAAGAAAATAAAAAGGAGATAAATTGGCAGGATCCATCTGCAGAGACGTCTGTTCCCTTTGGAGAGTAAACAAGCTCTTCCCTAAAATATATGTAAACACAGCCCAGCCCGACTGTTGTGGCACACAAACATCATCAAATCATTAACCTGCTTATAAACACAAGCAGCACTGGCACAAAGTCTGTATTCGTGTCTTTGGAGCTATTTTCTCCATAGAAACAGCAGTGTAGAAAAGTGTGATATCAGACCCAGAAAACACATCCCAGGATTTTTTAGAATTACAGCAAATGGGAAATAAACTGTTTCCAGTCTCTCCATCCTTCACTGTTGGAAACCTTGTTCCTCTCACCCTTATGGGGTGGACACTTGTGAGCTGCTCCCTCTCTAACCTGCACCTGAAGCTGCAGAACCAGTGGAAAAAGCCAAGACTTGCACAGAGAAACTGGGGAATCCAAACCTGTATTTTACACAAATACCTTGGAAGTGCAAAGCCTGAAATACCACGCTAAGTTTTCCCATGTTTTCCCACTCTCCTCGTACAAACAGGGATGGAACAAGACAATCTTTAAGGTCCCTTCCAACCCAAACCATTCCATGGTTCTATAACAAGGATGCAGGAAAGGAAATGCCCAAGACCTAAGCAGGGTAGTGCAGCTTAATCCCCTTAATAAGCAGAGAAGCATCTTTAATTTGGAGGAATATCACCTGTCACTTGATATAAATAAATACAAATTACAAGCCAAAAGATGCAAGACAATTACCCTGAAGTTGTTCAGCCTAAACACATGTGAATATGAACATAGATGTGCAAAAAAAGTGACATATAGAGAAGTTAATCAACTAAGACTTCAATTCATTAGTTTATTTTTTTTTTTTACATTAAAAAAATTACAACAGAAGGGTTTGAAAAGCCAAGTAACCCGGATTTCATACACACACACACACACTTGCTAAGTCACAGGGTTTAACTGCTTGGAGTGATATTTTCTGATTTCCATCATTAAACAATATACACATTAAGAGCCTCATGATAAAGCCAGACACATTTTTTTTTTTCCCAAACTTTTAAAGTGTGCAACTGAATATGCACAAATTTTTGTGGCACTTCCAGCTTTCCCCTCAGCTACACGAGACACTTTTGTTCTTTTGACTGCAATTTCAGTGGATTTCCTCCTAGGAATTCTCCAGCATCGCACACCATCCCCCCTCCCCCCAGCAAAGTGAACATATTCCATAGTATTGCACAGTTTTGTTCACAGGGCCGTTGATAATCCATGGATCCCTCGGGAATTTCACCCACCCAGTAGTACAAAACCTGATGAAGCTGAATCAAGATGCCACAAACTGTTACAAAGAGATGGAGAAGCAGCTCACTGAAAAAAGAAAGTACAGCTTGTGCAGTGCATAAACATTGTAATGCAAGATTCTTCAGCACGTGGAACTGCTGGAGGTGGGACAGGTCATCAGTGCTACTGGCTGAGCAAAAGCAAGAACAGGACAATTTTAAGGCAAGTCCCAAAACAGGGAGCTATTTACTTTCTAGGCACGATTTCAAGCTATGCATCAAGGCTCCTGCTTTATCCTTTATATTGTCAGTGATTTATAGATTAACAGTAATACAAAAAAATAGTCTAAATGTAATTTTTAAAGAATCCACTTTTATCTGAATTTCATTACTTGCAGCTTGTATTATCATTACTTGCAGATTTATGAACATTTCTTAGCACTACTGTTGTTTGTCAGGCCCACATAAAGCAGTTCTAGATCTATATTGCTCTCATTTCCTCAGAGTAGTTTTGGTTGAAAATGGCTAAATTCAAAATAATTTGTTCTATTGCAGACGTTTCTACATTTAAGATGCGTTGAAGGTGAGAAAGAGGCAACTCCCCTCATTCCCCTGATGTCTTTGTCTAAGGGATCATTAACACCTTTCCTTCTAGGAAAAGTCTGTACAATAAAAAAGGGGCAGAGCAAGACCATACAAAGACAACTGTTTTCAGTGAATTCCCTCCATCTGCAGTACATTCTTTCAATCTCACACAGCAGGATACAGTCACTGGTCCCACTCATCCCCGCACAGGCCTAAGACACAAACTATCCACGTCCAGTTCCCCTGGAATCAGTGATTTAAGGATTTGGGCAGGGTTTGGCCCACAGCCAGGAGTTGTTCAGGGAAGATTTAGCATTTCCCAAAATGCCAGAGGAGATGAACAGTGCCAACCACAGCCGTGCTTCAGTGAGCCTGGGAAGACATTGGGCAGGGGGTGACAGTGCCTGTGCTGTGCAGTGCTGGGCACCAGTCCCTGGAGTCACTTGCATATGAGGAATGTGTGCCTGGAGAGGGACACAGGAGTACAGCTCTGTTTATTAGGACAAGCTGAAAAATGAGAACTGAACAAAGCACTATTCCCTGAAATCTGGATTTAGAAGGCTAAGTCTCACTGGAGATCAACTTCCACCCTAATGCTCCTCCCTCTGATTGACAACTGCACCTAAGGATATACTTCTTATAAAAACACACAGGTAATTCCCCAAACATTTATCAAATAAAAAGGGTTTAACAAAAAATGGGTAAGTAATCTCATAAAATAAATTACAGTAGCATGACAACATTTGGCTTCTTTAGTGTGACCACGTGCTTTTCCTCTGGTATCTTGCTGTTCAGACCATTGCAGATCCAGTTCCTGTCTCTGAATTAATGAGATGTCTGTGACAATAAACGTAGAAAACTCTGCTTGCTACAAGCAAATGTCTGATATCAGTTTCACCTGGTCACAGATTATATGTAGACAGCCTTCTCTGGCCCCAAAATAAATATTATATAGAATTCTTGCAAGTTCCAGCATATTTAGGCTCAAACAGAAAACTCAGGTCCTCCTTTCTTTCCTCTCAGTAGAAGTCGCCTGATCCGAAATCCTGCAAAGGGATTGATCCACAGGAGTGAAGGCTGACCCCCAAAAACTGATTTCATCCCTTCCCAGCGGAGTCTCCTCTCCCATGTTGGCTTTTCACTCTTCAGTCTTTCGATCTCCTGGATATAAACACGTACTGGTGAGCCCAAAGTTTAGTAAAATATAATATCTGTCATCAAAACTCACTTTGCATTTTTATTGTGGAGTTACTGAGCTGATTAGTTCCTTATTCTTTCACTTATTTATTAAGGAAAAAATTAGAAATTTTTTTAGCCCTGTGGGTACAGGGCAGAGGACTTAGAATACTAAATGTGTACAAGAAGGTTTGTCTATCTGTATCTCTTTCCCCCTCAAGCTAAAAGGTAAAATGACCAGAAAAGCTGATGTTACAGTAGAGAGTCCACATGTAATAAACCTACACTACAAGCTGTTTACTTAATTAATGAAACCAGACAATAAGGCTCCTGCACTGCAATTACTGGAGCCAGGATTACTCTCAAATGCATTATTCTGATGATCTTTTTTTTGTACTTCCCACTAATGAAGGCTCAATATTTACCAACTGTTTTTCACAGTTATTCCTCAGTACAGAAATACACTTTTAAACAGCCTCACAGGAGAAAATACTGAACAGTCACAGGATTCAAATTCCTTATGTTTCCAGTTAATTGCCCATCCCAAAACATGCTCAGAAGGTGTAACACTGCAGATCTAAGGCCTAAACAATGCTTATCCTGTAACCAAGTGTATCAAAGTGAAGCGTGAAGGGCTGAGACAGAACAGCTACTTTAAGTGTAAACCTGAGAAAAATCAGACACCTCCCATGACACATCCCAGGAGT